AAGACTGCAATGGACCCATGCAGTGCTTATCGAAATGGGGCGAAAGCGGAGCTGTAAGTACAATTTCTTTTAGAGTACATGTCGTGACTTTCTGTCTGTACTCTGCTGTGCTCTGATTACCAAATATTCTAACCACGCGTGTTTTTTTTTGTCTTCTTCCCTTAAAGGCTCATCCGCTTGGGCTCTAGCCCGCCGGGCCCTCCGTCGGGCCATCCTCCCGCCTGCCCGCCGATCCCCTTCGCCGACCCCTCCGTCAAGCCCTCGCAACTCCTTGAAGGGGGATCATTGTAGTAGCTCTAGAGAGCCTCTAGCCTCTGGACCTTACTTTGATCCGAGTGCCTTTGGGGATTTCGCGTAGGTAACAGATGACACACAGTTGTGGTCATCCAAGTATGGTAAGTCAGTAGCAGTGGCCTGTTTACTAGGCCTATAGAGCTCGAGTCTCGGCCCTCAAGGAGGTCCCCCCTCCAGCAGGATCAGGATCAGGACCAGGATCAGGATCAGGTGTTATCGAGGCCTGATAACACCTCAGGTAAGTATACATGCGCATACATAGCAAGGAGCATATTAACTTGATTCTATCATTGCTTTTGTTCTCTCTGTTTAGGTGGGATCTTGGCAACTCGGAGCTCTATAGTGTTTAGTAAATAGTTCATTGTTACTGACATCATACTTAGATCACCCCAATTAGCGAAGCTGCACCAGGCGCCTGGCTGTAGTGTGTAGTGCATGGCGTAGAGGCGTCATGTTGTGTGACCTGTTACCTGCCGTCTGAACCAAAGGTACTCTGGTCATAGTAGGGCTTCATTGGCTAGTCGTTCGATAGACTATTGCAATGAGACCTCTGCTTGGAGAAGCGAGAGCAAGGGTCATAAGGGGAGTAGAGGGCCTTGAGGCATAAAACTAGATCGAAGAGCACCATGCTTCGAATGCGGCTAGGAGCGCAGGGCCAACAGAAAGCAGACAGCAGCCGAGGGCCGAAAGCCAATAATCAAGAGCCAGCAGTCAGCAGTCAACACCCAACATCCAATAGCAGAAAAAAAAAAAAAAAAAAGAAGCAAATAACCAAAACACAAAACAAAGAACAAAAAAAAAAAAAAGATAAAAAAAAAGATAAAAACCGAAACATAGAGCGCCTGGAGAAATAGCCTCAGAGCTAATAACCAACAGCCAACAGCCAACAGCCAACAGCCAACGGCCAACAGTTAACAGCCAACGGTCATATAAAAACCCCCAAAAAACCAAAAAAAAAAAAAAAAAAAAAAAAAAAAAAAAAAACTTCAAATGAAAATAAAAAAAAAAGAATAAAAACTTCAAAAGAAAAAAAAAAAAAAAAAAAAAAAAAAACCCCCGAAGCCAGAAGCCAGAAGCCAGAAGCCAGAAGCCGGAAGCCAAAGTCAGAAGCCAGAAGCCAGAAGCCAAAAGCCAAAAGCCAAAAGCCAAATGCCAGAAGCCGGAAGTCAAAAGACCGAAGCCAGAAGCCAAAAGACAGAAAGAAGCCAGAAGCCAAATGCCAGAATCCAGAACCCAGAAGTCAAAAGCCAGAAGCCAGGAACCAAAAGTCAGAAACCAAAAATTAGCAGATAGCAGTCACGTCACTGCAAAAAAAAAAAAAAAAAAAAAAAAAAAAGGCAACCAGCTCACTCCACTCAACCAAAAGAAACCTCATTGAAAACCAGCCAAGGCCCAAAGTCGGTAGACGGTTGGCTCAGCCATAGCAGCTAGAGACTGCCTCAGCAAAATTAAAGACAGAAAACCTTAGTCAAAGCAATCGAAGGCAGCCAGGCAACCACAATTAATCAAACACAGTTTGCTACAATCAAGGAAATCAAAGACTACCAAAGCCAAAGCCAAAGTCGACCAAGGGCAACCTATAAGAGTCCCGATAATCAAAGGCAGTCAACCAAGGGAAGCTAACCCAAAGCCAGGCCACTAGGGCCAGTCAACCAAGGTTTCCAAGGCCAGTTAGCCAAGGCGCCATCAAAGAATATGCTAAAAAGCAACATCAAAAGAATCCAAGCCGACTAGGAAATGTTCGGTTCATGCAAACGTACCATGGGCATCGCCACTCTTGGGCCAGGATGCAGCTTGGAAACCACAGCATAGTAAACAATTAACAATAAATATTAAAAGGCAAGATCAGACACAATGATCTTTGTCTTTTGTCTGAAAATGTGATGGATCTATGACTATTGTGAATGCGAAATAGGAATAGAATGTTGGTAGCGATAATCAATAGTAAAGCCAATGGATTAAGCTGTGCCAGCTATCGGTAGCAAGCTACTCGGTAATACATAGCTGGTTATATACTTACATTCACTCATCCACGGCCTTGAAGAGCAACCCAATCAAGCACATGAATACCTTAGTGGAGTTGTGGACGTGTATTGTTACAGGCGCTTACCGTGTTACAGTGCGTTCACATTTGCACTGTCTGTGGCCTCATTGACTACAGCAGTTAGTAAAGGAGACCATCTTCTTTATCCTCTTCTTCTATTCTCTTTCTTCACTCTTAACAAGAGATGGGATAGACTATGTGGGGATTATACTTTGGCAGATTGCCGTTTTTCCAGAGTTTGATAGAAGATAGCACATGACAATCCTCAAGATACCTCTGCGCCTTTTAATTTTAATTTCTATATTTTCATGCAAGACAATATGGAATATATAAAGATTAGTGATTAGCATTTATAGCTTCTTTGTTTGAAGGCGAAATAAAGTTAGGATCAGGATTGGACAGACTGTGACCTGCTGCCTAGATCTCGGCAAACGACTCGGCTGTTGACCCTTTTTGAGAATAGCTCAGTTGGTATAGCATATTTTTATTTCCTTTATAGCTATCGATTTTTTATACTTTGTGTTTCTATTTGTGTTGTCGATACGATATTTTACAGCGACGCAAAGGAAACTGAGCATCCTGCTGCCAAATGTTAAATAATAATAAATAATGATAGCTATCATTCTCCAGCAATAAAGAAAGTCATTGTGGGTGGGTGGGTTGTAATATTAAACGAATGAGTATAAAGTAAGTATTGAAAATCTAAAGAGATAACGCGTTCAGAGGGGAACGCCGCAATGTCATTTATTTTTCCGCCATGACACCTTCAGTCAGATGTTTGTTTGAACACTCTTTTTTCTGGTTGGTCAGAGTCCATTTTGAATCTGAATGTTCACACAGCAGACAAGGGACACAGACATTGTCCATCTCGATAAAATTGACCTTTTTTACCTCCAAATGCCACATGAATGATGGCAACCTGTCTCTGAGAGCAAACAGCCACACATCAATATTAGTCATGTCCATACAATCATGGTGCGAGGCGGCGGTATTATCCTTCATGTACATTTTTATTATTTATCCCTAATTTTGCCCTTTCTTTTATATAGTACTCTCTTTGATGACAGTGCAACAATAATGTGGAGAAATACCAAGTGGACAAAAGATGGCCAAGGCAGCATGGTATAGCACTAAAGAGGGCTCATAAAGCAGCGTTGCTCGTGGAAATGTTGATACTGTTGATACCCACGTGTATGCCATGTCGTTTGTGTATATCGTGGGAACTGTGCTTTAGCAATTTTTGTTCGAACAGACTTTTCCTTTTTTTTTAATTTTCGGAACGCCAAGGAGATATACAACACGTCATTCCCTCGACACGGTTGGATGTCTTTTATTGGTCGATACATGAACGTTGATACTTTACTTTACCTTCAAACAAAGAAGCTATAAATGCTAATCACTAATCTTTATATATTCCATATTGTCTTGCATGAAAATATAGAAATTAAAATTAAAAGGTGCAGAGGTATCTTGAGGATTGTCATGTGCTATCTTCTATCACACGGCAATCTGTCAAAGTATAGTCTATCCTATCTCTTGTTAAGAGTGAAGAAAGAAGAAGAGGATTAAGAAGAAGAGGGTAAAGAAGATAATCTTCTTTACTAACTGCTGTAGTCAATGAGGGCACAGACAGTGCAAATGTGAACGCACTGTAACACGGTAGGCGCCTGTAACAATACACGTCCACAACTCCACTAAGGTATTCATGTGCTTGATTGGGTTGCTCTTCAAGGCCGTGGATGAGTGAATGTAAGAATATAGCTAGCAATATATTACTGAGCAGCTTGCTATCAATAGCTGACACAGCTTAATCCATTGGCTTTGCTATTGACTGTCGCTACTAATTTTCTATTCCTATTTGAGGACATTTGCATTCACCATAATCACAGATCTATCACATTTTCAGACAATTATCACAGGAGCCGACCAATAATGCGTCACTTCTTTTACAAAGCGTTCTCGAATAATATGAAGAGAAAAGCATATTATCCGAGGGAGCCGACCTATAACGTGTCCCTTCTTTTCCTTATTAATTCGCAATTTTTTTTTTTTTTTTTTTTTTTTTTTTTGGATAATCCGATGGATGGAGAGAGACATTAAACTTCGCTCGCATACTCGTAAGAAAATAAAGCTACAGAGCTCACGTAACGAATAATGTATATCATGAATCCTTGCTATATTAATGTGGTATCCAAAGAAGAAATGGAGTCGAATGAGGATCCATCACCGTAAACACAGGCTTGTTATTGCTACCTGCTAATAGGTAAGGGAAACCAACTCCATGGCAGGTTTCTCAACAATGTTCAACAACATACAAGATGCTTTAGGTGAGAGCAAAGCAGCAACAAAGAAGAAGAGAGCCAAAGCCCACCACTCCGTAGTTCGCATACTCCAATAAAGTCCATGTATTGCTTTTGCTTGCGTTGTAGCGGCGGACCAGGGATATGTATATTAAGGGAGAGTACTCCTTTTATTCGCACATCTACAAGAATACAAGATGAATATGTTGAAGGGAGAAATTTGTTTGAGTTGACACGAAAGAGCACTTCAGTGATTTGAAACTATGAGGGGAAGCAGTGCTTGCGTCCTGGCAGCCTGAGTGCTATAGCTAGTGCCAAAGCTCCTTCATCCCCGATCAATTTATTAATAAAGTCCAGACCGGTTAATGTGATATTGGTCCTTGATAGCACCAGAGTTCCTCTTTTGCAAAAGGCTCATACTCCAGGTCGAGAATGGTCAAAGTTGTGTTAGCCTTGAGTGCCTCTGACAGCATCAGAGCTTCTTTTTCGATTGAGTTATCGAGTAAGTTCAAGGCGGCCAAAGCCCTGTTTGCCTTAAGTGCTTCTGAGAGTGCTTCAACTCCTTCTATTCCAATTGAGTTATGGCTCAGATCCAAAGTGGCCAACGTTGTATTCGTCGTTAGTGCCTTAGACAACTCCAGAGTTTCTTCTTTCCCGGTCGAATTACCGCGCAAGTTCAAAGTGGTCAATGTCGTGTTCGTCTTTAATGCCTTGGATAGCACCAGAGCTCCTTCTTTCCCAATAAAGTTATCTCTCAGGTCCAGGGCGGTCAAAGTTGTGTTGAACTTGAGTGAATTTGTAGGTACTCGATATACACCAGCTCCGATCGATTGAGGTTGTATCTTAAAGGATAGCTGATGAAGCTGTGACGATCTTCTGGGCTGCAAATACGAAAACTTTGTGAGGTCTGGAGGTAGAGCAATATGAATAGCCTTCATGTTGCCAATCTCCATGATGCGAACAAGTACTTCATATCGTGAAGATGTCAAAAGTGTTTTTCTGGTTGCGCTTTTCTGAAACTCCCCAGGATCAAGTCGAAGAATTGATACACTAGATGTCTTGAGTGCTTTCTCGAATGATTCAAGGTCAGTCTTTGTCCATTGCCAGCTGAGTGTTATATCTAGCTCGTAAACGCGTCTTGCAATGGCCAGCGCGTCGAAAAATTCTTCAGCTCTGGTTTTTGATCCCAATGTGATAACCAGGTTCAAACTACGAGTCATATTTTCCTCCATTCGTCTTCACTACATTTTCAAACGCTTTCTGTTCTGTTTCTTTTTTTGTCCAACAAGAGTGTTCAAAACAAACTCATTTGACACGACCTGGTTCCGTCATTGTCCTGTACAAGTTGCCGAGTTTCCTATCCTCATCGATGATTCGAAGAAATGTGTCCAGCTGTCGGAGATCAGCCCCTTCAAGCTCCTCATATCTATCGATTGTGTTGGTGGTGTTCAATGCCGAGTACTCCTTGGAGAGCGTATCCATATAAGCAGTTGGATAAGCCATAGCAGCATCAATCAGATTTGGACCTGGTGTTAGAGAAGCAGCCGGGATGTTCCTGGTCTCCGCTCTCCCGAGAACCTGGGCTTGGCTGTCCTTGGAATAGGGCAAATACACTCTTACCGAGAAGAATATTACGTACCGAGGCTCGAGGATACACCTCAGTGGCATCTCTATTTTTTTTTTTTTTTTTTTTATAGGGTCAGAACATTCTGTGGCGGTCATGGCGAGATAATAAAAGGCGCCCACCTGGCAACAATAATAAAAGCAACCTTTTGATCTCCTTGAGTCATTGCTTCAGAAAAAACTTCAAAGAGCGGCTTGTGTTCAAGCAAACACTACATCCAAGCTCAGCTGCAGTTTTAAGTCTTGCTTCCTTCCTTTCCTCTCTTCTTCTCCCCTCCACATGTTGTGCTCGCAACTTCTCTTCAACCTCCACAGCTCGCCAGGCTTGGGGTGCTTTAATGGCCCGTTTCACACCCGACGTGGTTCCTCCTAGTTGGGAAACAGGCTTCAAATAGTTTGAATCGCCATAAATAGAGCGGAAGATGGAGCAGACGACAAAGATAAACGTGTGCCAGATAAAAGTGGTAACCGTAATGTTGAAATTTGAGAAAAATGAAAATAAAAGCAAGTGAAGGTTCAAAGTGATGAGATATGTGGAAGAATTGGGACAGTGGAGCAAGGGGTCAGGTTCAAAATATCGACGATATATACGTTCGCATCGTACATTGTAGACGTGACCTTTTTGGTGTGTACAGAGATGATATTTTATTCGTCTTTATGAGTGCACTTTATGCAGTCAGACACATTATTTTATTTTTGCTAGTTTTGCTCGTGCTCTCACAAGGCAAAAAAAAGTTTTTTTTTTGTGCAGATGCTGCGAGACCATGCAACGGAGAGCACAACCCTTTATTCTTTGCCCGCCATTCACTTCGCCTTTTTGAAGTCACCTTTTTTGGCTGCCACATAAAAGAGAAGATAGAGAAAAAAAAAGAATGAAAAATATTGTAGAAGCTGATTTTTACAAGGGTCACTGGATTCTGTTGCTTGGATGTTATAACCATCTTTCCATTTGTGGACAAGTTTGGGTTTTGCAGGATGAACTCTCTATTCGAGGGTACATTATGAGTAATTATCCTCGTAGCCATGGTCCATATGTGTGACCTCTTTTTATTCCTTCTGACCGAGAAAAAACTAAAAATAAAATAAATAAAATCTAGCGTTCGCTCTGATCTACTCTCTATCTTCTTTTTTCTCGCTCAGGAACACATCCAGCGTATTGAAGTTCCAAATGAGCGAGTATGACACTTCTGATCCAATTATACACTCTCTCCAGAGCCAGCTGGCTACACTCACCAGCCGGCTTGAGGCTCTCTCGACTAGCTCTGAATCCAGTCGATCGAACCCCTACTTGGTTCCAAAAGAACCAGCTTACGAAATTACACCTGACGACTCCATTCTCGTCCACTACCCAGCAATGGACGGGAAAGATTTTTTCAAACATAAATCTGGAAACCGTGCAGACGATCTTGCATATGCAACAGAAATGGCTAAAGAGATGCAGTCTTTTGCCAAAAACACAACCCAAACCTATTCTGCACCCAAATCGGCACTCATTGACTGGCCCGACTCTTCCTCTCACCACAGTTCCATGGACAAAACAATCTCACGCTATCAATCACGATTGGCAAACCTTACAAGACCACTTGATCAATTTGCCACGGAAATGTTTTCCTACGAAGTTGACCCTGCGGTCGCACAAGCGTGTTTACAGCTCGCACAGACAATGCGTGAACATATTGCACACCTTGCACAGCAAATGTCAAGCGACAGGGAGGACCTTGTTTACCAAGCGCACAAAATTTCAGTCACCAAGGACACAGTTGATCCACCAATTGTCTCTACTTCAGACTTCATTGAAGCCAGCAAATTGGCAAAGAGTGTTCGTCAGGCTACTAACCCGACAAGACAACGGGCGTACAACAGGAGGACTCAAAACCGGAGTTTCTTTAGCGCAAATACTTACAGACCCACTTCTAATTCTAGCCAATCTCATCCATCGGGTCAAACTCAGACCGCCCACTATCAAAATGACAATGGTTCTTTTTTTGGGCGAGGCCAAAATCCAAGGAGAGGGGGACGAGGCCGAGGCCGAGGCTACCAAACCCCTCAATCCAACCAGACAAGTCAGGCACAGACTGCAGGCCAGCAGTAGGTGGCCGTTTACAGATTTACAGAGAAGCATGGGCTCTCATAACCGACAACGAATGGGTCAAGTCGGTCGTCTCCGAGGGATTCAAAATCCCTTTCCACAAACGGCCACCGATATCCAGTTCAACAGCGTACCAAGCTCGAGTAGCAGCGGAGGAAGAGAAGGCGATCGATCAAGAGGTAATCGCACTCTTAGCCAAAAGAGCAATAGAGGTCGCTTCGGGCCCTGGTTTCAAGAGCCGAATATTCACTATCCCCAAGAAAACCGGGGACATTCGTCCAGTCTTAAATCTAAGACCGTTGAATGCCTACGTCTCAGAGCGGCACTTCAAAATGGAGACGATGACGACAGTATGCGCAATGTTACAGAAGAACGACTTTATGACAAGCATCGACCTATCAGACGCATTTCTTCACGTACTAATCCATCCAGATTATCGTCATTATCTACAGTTCCAATGGAAGAACCGGAAATTTCAATTCCGTACACTTCCCTTCGGGCTCTCACTCTCTCCGCTAGTGTTCACCAAAGTTCTCAAGCCTTTCCTCAAATGGGCACGACGACGAGGAATTCGCATATCAGCGTACCTAGACGATTTGATAATCCTAGCCAAGAACAAAGAACAATCAATCCAGTTCACTCAACTAGTGCAAGACAAGTTGGCAGCGCTAGGATTCCTCATCAAGGAAGCCAAGTCTACGTTGATCCCGTCACAGAAAATAGACCATTTAGGCTTCACCATCAACTCCCGGGATATGACTGTCACAGTTCCGAAATCCAAAGTCAGGGACATACGGCGCGAGGCAGGAAAGCTACTACGAAAAGGCGCCACTTCTTTAAGGGAACTTTCTTCGTTCGTCGGGAAAGCAATGGCAACATCTATGGCAGTGTTCCCAGCGCGATTCATGACACGGAATCTGCTTCACCTCAAGAACACAGCACTAAAAGCCAAGGGAGCTTCTTGGTCGGACACGGTCACCCTCACGGAACCAGCCAAGGAGAACCTTCAATGGTGGAAGGAGCAATTGACGTCATGGAATGGTCTGTCATGGATTCAACAACAGACACAAATGGACATATACACGGATGCATCGGACACCGGATGGGGGATCGTGATCAACAATCAAACATGGAGTGGCAAATGGACTCCACAAGAGAAAGACCACCACATCAACTGGAAGGAACTACAGACAGTTCTTCGAGCTGTTCAACTACCAATAACACAGGGCAAAATGATCAACATCATATGCGACAACACGACAACGATTGCACACATCAACAGGTTCGGAGGGACGAGGTCTCCGGAACTAATGAGACTAGCGGACACGTTATGGCGTCACTGCCTAGCAACGGGGACTCGACTTCGGACGACATACATCCCATCTGCATTCAACCCAGCGGATGCACCGTCACGGCGAATGATATCGCAATTGGAATGGAGGATCAGTCGCCCATTCTTTCAACAACTGGAACACCAATGGGGGCCACATCAGGTGGACCTATTTGCGTCGGCACAGAACAAACAGCTACCGACATTTGTCTCATGGAAATTCCATCCAGATGCTCTGAAGATAGACGCCCTTCAACACAACTGGACAGAGATGGGCAACCTTTACATTTGCCCCCCATGGAATCTTCTATCAATCATCTTGGAGAGGATACAGACCCAGAAACTGACAGCAACAGTAATAACCCCATGGTGGCCGAGTGCAATATGGTTCCCAACCATCAAGGAGATGGCAGTAGCACCACCAATCCCGATCCCTCGGGAAGCAGTCCTACCAGCCGTCGGAAGCGCAAGCGATCTCCTCAGCAAGAATCCACTCTGGTCATTGACAGCATGGAGAATAAGAGGCGACGTAAAGATCTAGATGCAGGACTCTCACCATCCGCTATCACTCTACTAGATTCAGCAGGTGCCAACAGCAAAACACGTCGACAATATCTGCCAACTCAAGAGGCTTTTGCAGTATGGGCTCAACAAGAAGGCTTCGACCCTAGTACGCCAAATGCAATTGCTGTAGTTAACTATTTATGCCATGCGCGGATTATCTATTCTTGGAGTAGGAATACCACTCTTAACAAAAAATCAGCCATCTTAAAGCTTTACGACGACACATCCGTGATCACAGGCAATATCTACTTTCAGCGGTTCATGGCAGCAATGAAAAGTACTGGCGTATTTCAAATGGAGCACGTATCCGCACTCGACATTTCACCCATCCTTTCATACTTCCGCATGGAGGACAATGTGGATCTTGATATGCCTAAGCTCTCTCGCAAGCTCTGCTGGCTCTTAGGCGTTTGTGCGTTTCTCCGGCCAGATGATATCGGTTGCATCGATGTGTCAAAGTCAGAGACCGATGAAAAGGGTCTTCTCCTTACCATAGTCTTCCCTAAGGAGCGACGCGATGGGCAGCGCATCATAAAGTCGATCTTCGTAGGTAGACACCCTAACGACAAGAAAATTTGCCCAGTCGAGGCCTATACAGAATACACCAGACGGAT